GATGTTGCGCATGCGCGACTGAACGAATCACTCCCCGAGACGACTCGTTCTTCCCGAATCACATTAAAGATTCGTTCAAGAACGACCCAACACTAATTCACACCTTGATGGACAAGACTTTCTCTCCTGAAAGGCACCTGAAATATTCACCTACACACCTAAGTTGTGTCGTTCCCTACCTAGACAGCATTTTACACGCTGTGTAGGTTGACAGCACAGATCCAAAACTTTGTGTCGGGTTTATTTCCATATAAAGACTGAAACGTGTTATACTCAGTGGATATCATGTCAACGGGCTCGTTTCGCCGACGTGTCACTCCGTGAACCCACTTCATGACATTTACAGACAAAACTCTTTAAACAGCAGTGTTTACGACCGTGACAGACGAAAACAAACATATCTCGTGCCATGTAAAACTTTGTTTAGATAAACGAGGCCTGTATGTAGGAGTCATTCACACACAACTACGAGTCCAAACGACGCTAAAATGACAACGTTTATTCATAACGCCATGCTAATATAAACAGTCTTAATGTTTTGTTAAAAATCCAGTTTGCTAACACGCATGTGCATAAACGTAAAATGACTTTGACGGCTAATTCAGCTAACGGCTAATAAAACTGACGCGCTATCGCGAGACATGACCGCGTAAGGTCAACAACACCGATATATCTGTAAATAAAACACTTGTGTGAAGACAAATCGGCGATAAGCCTCTCAAATGCACGTTTATCCTCTAAAGGCCCTTTAATAATGGCAGCGTGCGGGGAAATGTGTGTTCAACTGAAGCTAACTAGCCTGTGCTAACCTTCAAGCTGTGTATAATGACAGAAATCCCGACAGTTCGTGCAGAACATCAGATGAAACCTCGGGGAAATAACGCAAAGCGACATGACAAGACATGGAAACCTGAAATCCCCAGTGCTGAGATGATTTAAAGTGTGTAGTGGGTGCTGGCCAGCCCTTACCTGATCTCTCAATGGTCCCCTCTGAAGAAGGAAGTCAGTGACACGAGATCACAAGAGTGAGTTACTCCGCGCGCACAACTCGCGTAAAAGTCACATTATTGCATCTGTCCACTTCACACAATACAGACACCGTCCTGATTCGGAGCAGTACATGTGCCTGCATGATCAGACTTACTCGTTAATGACATTTTAGTCGAAATAGGATTTGTTTTAGTGTGTAAATATGGCGAAATAATAGATCAATAAAGCCCCCCGAGTTACAGTGATTTTAAGAAGGTGCTTTGTTGTAAAATCACTGTCATGCATGGCTTATAAAACGGTGGGGGCAGTGATATAGCAGAAATACAAATGTTCAAGGATCATCTACATGTATTATTTATAATAACCGGAATAAACAGTGCTTCCAAGTAATTTAGTTCATTACGTAGCAACTCAGTGCATTGTTTTTTTTAACCTCTTTAATAATAACCAGTCATTATCATTATTAAACACAAACAAGGCAAGCAGCATTGAAAGAGAAAATCAATAGGCATAAATAATAGCTATAAATAGATGCATAAAAAAAT